TCCCTGACTAGAAAGGGAGCGAAAACAAGAGAGCAGGGGGGAAAATTAGGAATTCCTGTGGAGAAAGGGGGAGCTTTCAGCGCGCAACGGGGCTGATGGCTCTGCTTCTTCCTTCTTAGCTTCAGTTCTGCTCAGAAGCTTCGTAATGGGGGTTTATGTCAAGGCTGGGTCACGTATAGAGGCTATGCTGTGAAATCGTGCAAAAAAAGCCATGCAATGTGCCCGCTGCACCTTATTCTAGACTTGGAGCATTAGTCACAACTAAAATCACACTGGTTCTTTACGTAACACCAGACATCCCAAGAAAGCAAACATATGTTAACAGAAATTTGAATAGAATCTCACATTTATCTTGCTAATTTAGGTTGGTGATCGATTCTTCAGGGGTTGCATTTCTAGTCCTGTGAGGAAGTCACTTAAGGCCATGCAAAAGGAATGCGATTGCATTCCAGGGGGAAACCCCAGTCATATACCCACACAGTGCAGTGAGCTCTGGAAATGACTCTAAATGCTACAGAGAGCCGCTGCTACAAGTCAGACTGTTACTCAAAAGACTCACAGACCACAGCCTCTAATCTCAATATTAAGGGAGAAATAGTCATCCTATCTAGACTTGTACAAAAGCTTGTAAAAAATTTATTATGGCTGGTATTGTTGCATCCAAAAAACGCACACTGAACACATACTGAGTCTTTTTAGACAGAGGAATCATTGGTTTGATGTACATTAATATTTTTAAAAACATCTTTTTCTTCTCTGTGGTTCATTTTCCTGACAAACTAATTTAATAATGCTACCTTTCACTAAGATATCCCTTTTAACAATTTATTATTTCAGGAATACTTAAGCCAGAAAATAAGAATGATCCGTGTGCAGCAACACATCCTAATGCCATAGTACACACTGCATCATCCACGCAGAAACCGTGGGTTTTGTAAAAGAAGATTCCCAGATTCCACCTGAACAGAAGCGATTTTCCTCTACTCCTTTACCAAGCAATGCCACATATACAAGCAAATATGCTGCAGAAATCTTAACTGACCTACAAAGCTCAGGAGCTTCTTAAGAGCGAAATAGAACTGTACCCCATATTTACATTAAAAATAAGCAAGTCGGAGCAATTTAATAAATACATTTTAGTTAATATTTTTCCTATGTTTACTTACCGTTTTAACCATCATGTGTTTGCTTTTTACAGATTCAGTAGTTGATGAACAAAGCAGATTTTCAGTCAAGATTATAAATTACAACCAACAAATTCAACAGTTCACTCTTACGTAATTTTAGTCCATACAAACTCCTGCTTTAGCAGTAAGCAAGAAATCCTGTCCCGGCTTCAGCACCTCAGATTACTCTTGATGTTCATGCTCTTGTCCTGGGATTAGCCACCGGATGCTCTCAGTCCGAACAGTCGCATACATTACGAAGCTAGCCAGAAAGAGTAAAGAAAACAGGAGCAGCCAGTCTATTCCTTTGGTCAGGACACTCGGCAGAGGGCCTTCCCAGTCTTCCTCGGTCACAGTCACATCACTTTTAGCTTCTATTCCTTAAAAGAGAACCACTTGATAAGTAGCAATAATAATCATTTAATACTAGTAAAGTTGGTTATATTTGGAGCTTTTTTTCTTATTCTCAAAGTAAGGTGCACTTAATATTTTGGTGAGAGTCTTGGTATTTTAACATATCTACCACAGAGTTTACTCATGTAGAATGAAAGGCTTATCAATGTACATGGATACTTTTATAATAAAACTTTCATCTTGTTTATCCATAGCACAAACTTTTGGGGGAGGGAGCAAGAGAGAGGCTTGGTATTTTTACTATAACAGCAAATATATACAATTCCTAGCCTCTAATGAAGGCCATCGTTGGCCTAGACACTATTATTATTATTCAGGAAAGCACACCACAGGAGACTGTCCAACTGCGAGCTCACAACGAGGGCAGCCAGAGCACAAAATCTGGAATCCTTTAGTCCCTTCCAGCACCGTCTTATCCTCCAGCACTGAAACTGTCTTATCCCCCAACTGCAGTCAACCTACACAGCACTGGCAATATTCCCAGTATTCCTCTGCCTTTATTCTCCAACTAATTATTGTGACAAGCAGGTGCTTGATCCTTTGCTGGCTAAACCTCACTGTCTCTCCTTTCCCTTTAAACACAGTCCAGTAAGATGAGGTTCTGCATCTAGCATACCCTGAAATCCAACTCACTAAAGTGAGCAATGAGATGGACCTCTGCTGCAGATGACCCCCTTAGGGTCTTCATGAAACTAATTTAAAATAAGAACTAACAGGGAGAAGAAAGCTCAGCTTGGAGCTAGGAGGCAACCCTGTTCCTACTATTGCTAATGAGAGCCGAGGTACGTACCTGTTTGATTAAAAATGAAGTCTTTCAGTGTTTCCAGTGTTCTGTCTGTATGATTAAATCTAGCCATAGGTTTTGCCCCTTGGAAAAGGAGGATGTTGGGTACAGCCACGGTTCCAAATCTGGTTGATAAACTGATTGACATAAAGCAAACACAAGACATGAAGGAAGAGAAACGCACTGGAGAAAGAAACAGCACTTACAATACAGGTAATGCCAGTTTTACTTTGATAATTTGTCGCTTTAGAACAAACAACATGCAACCACTTTTTTGTGGCATTAGGGAAATGCTTTTCTGATGAATTAGTCCACATGGCAAGCTTCAGCATTGGATCAGCATGTTATTTCACCATAAGGATTTGCATTATATAGGTCTTTGTTATTTGAGAATATAGTGGGATGGGGAGGATATGTAGTACTTTTATGGGTAATGAAATCCCCAAAGGAAGTGGCAGAACA